TGTGGCGCAAATTGCCTACCTCCTCCCAGGCGGCTCCCTATGGAGACCCCTTATAGCGCCTGCCATTGATCGGGAACCCTTGGATCCACAGAGCCAAGGTTATGCGTAGAAATTACTCTCAGTGGGTGTTGACATTGCCGATAAAACGAAAAAAGATAATTCGATGGGGAGGGTTTTCATTAGTGTCAAGTTCGTAATGACACTTACGCATCTTTGCAGGTGAGGTTGGCTTCGCAGCGAACTCAAACTATTTCTATCCCAAGGATCCAAAGAACCCAAGTGATGTAGAAGCTGCCGAGCGCATTCAGCAATTCACGGTAAGTTCTGGAGCTTTGTAAGCACAAACAAGGCTGAGTCTATTTCACTATACCTCTCGGTTGTGTCGTCACAGCAACCGTCATATTTCCAGAGTACTCCCCAGTGATGTTTCCGTCCTGCTGTCTCTAAAAAGGGTTGGTGATTCGTTGCAGCTCGGCTGGTACACGCATCCCATCTTCAGTAAAGACGGGGACTACCCCGCAGTCATGAAGGAGAGAGTAAAGAAAGCAAGTCTCGAGCAAGGCTTGAAAAGGTCTCGCCTCCCAGAGTTCACCGAAGCTGAAATCAAACTTATACAAGGTACAGGCGGGTTTAAAAAAAATAAAAGTAATTTATTACGTTATTTGTTCACATAGCATACTCATGTCATAAATCAAATCATAAAGTCTTAATTTATCCGTCTCCTAGCCGACATTTGTTGCCTGCAAACGTAATTGACGAACCGATTGTCAGGCACTGAGCACAAGGGCGAAAGGAATACAAACTGGCTGCCAAATTAAACGCGCAACACAACTAATCCCTTCCCCTTTTTAGCGGCCCATTTCTAAATACTTGTAACCCAAAATGTTTTCTTAGGATCGGCGGACTTTTTCGGCCTCAACTACTACACGTCGAGCCTTGCCCACGAGCCGACAGGGGACGAAGAAAAACCAAAAGCGGGAACCAGAGCCGGTGATGCAGGAGTCGTGACGTCATTCGATCCGTCCTGGGAGGAAACGATTGCGGACTGGCTCAGGGTACAATTACATGCGCCAATCAAAAGTGAGTATAATTTGGAATCCTTAAAATTCATCGGTCTACTTTGAATCCTAGGTGGTTCCGGAAGGCTTCCGAAAGCAATTAAACTGGATTAAAAATCAGTACGGCAATCCCAGAGTCATGGTCACTGAGCAGGGCTACCCCGACCACGGGGGCCTAATGGATACGAATCGAGTGCGCTCTTACAGGGTATGAAACCATTACTAAATCGTTTTCAGTCAAGGCATTGGTTAGACACTTTCATAACATGTCAACCTCTTCCTCTACTTTTTGGTCGCTGAAACACAGCTTCACCTGCTCGAACTGCTTAAAGCTATAAACATAGATAAGTGCAACGTAGCAGTATACACGGCATGGAGTCTCATGGACAACTATGAATGGTTCTTTGGTTACGAGTGAGTAGTAATTCCCTTCATTCCCGATCTTGTCGACGCAAAACACGGTCTGACCTCTTTTCATTTCAAAGGCACAAGTACGGCTTGTATCAAGTCGACTTTGCGGATCCGGAGCGACCGCGCACGCCTAAGATGTCAGCAGCGTTTTACAAGAAGCTCATCGAGACGCGCAAGGTTCCGAAAGATGGCGAGATTGACTTTAGTACTGCAGCGCCTACTGCAGCGCCTACTGCCTCTACTGCGGCGCCCACTGCGGCACCCACCGCGGCGCCACAAACGTCTACACAGAAAAGTTCAGCGGGCATAAATGTGCTGTCGTATTTCGTGTTCATTACTTCATGTTCTGTCCTCCTACTACAAATATAGTGAGAAACCGCCACGTCATTTCTTGTGACATTTTAACAGACATCTACACTTTATCCAACTCCCAGAGGGGATATTGTCCATAGCCAGACCATAGAAAACCTAGGGGCTTTGAAAAGGAATTTGCACCGCAATCCGACCTTAGTGGTGCCTGTGGCTAGTTGAAGCAGGATAGACACATGAATGGTCCTTTGGGGGTCTGTGTAGTTAAACCGTGCGCATGCATGCATGCATGCATGGGTCGCTTGAGGCGCACTATTTGAGCTAAAATTGGGTGTTTTGATGGCGGAAAATAAATGTCATAAAGGTTTTAACTACACCTGTATACGTTGGTGTTTGTGCGTTTGAGTATGACTGAAACCAAACATTAGCGGAAAATAATACCGAGTTTACTTTTCGAGTGCCCCAATTCAATATTTTGTGCTTACCTTTCCAAATCATTCGAAAACAACTAATTCGTGAAGCAGCTGCCGCTAGCCTAGGCTCCGACCATAGTCAACATAACCCCCAAAGGCACCACGTTTGTTATTGTTGTGAAATCGTATTTCAACGGTCGGTAAGGTACCAAAATATTCTTAAAAATCATCTTATGCCATTCTGTGCCTATATCAATCAGAAGAAGCACCCTTTTTGCTGTTTTGAGGAAATTGTCAGCGGAACGTTTTCTGCGACTTAGCGCAGGCGTCCCGAACCCGCCCCGAGCCCTGCCGAATGACCGTGGCGCGGCGGACAGCGCGGCGTTGAGGCAGAAGGGTGTGACGGATCGAGCTGAAACTTTACGCGGCCATACAATCAACCTTCCCCTATCAGATGCTGCTTTCGGATTTTAAATAGGTGGAATCGTTTAGGAGAAAATGAGCCGCACATTTGGCCGTGCAGGCCCTGGCCCGCCCGTCGTTGCCTCTCCATCCCCTTATACCTGCTCGTCATCTGAGTAAATGTAACGACATTTATCAATGCTGAGGGGTGCTAAAACAAAACACCTTGGATATTTTTATCATATGTTTGTTATAACACATAATATTGAGACGGGCACTCGAGCCGTAATTTGAACTACGGGCGGGAGGACAAATGGTGACGTCACGATTCGGTGACCAATCAGCTCGCGAGGGGTCTACTGCCACAACCTATAGTTGGTTCACTAAATGTAGACACCGGCGATCTCAAACGAAAATCCAAACAATCGCTGGGGCTCCTTTTGTCGACGTCATAAGCAGTACGGTTACGCACATTACAAGGGTCAGGTAGCCTGTCTAAGGCTGCCGGAAGCGCTCGCGCCTTCCTCGCCCGCCTCCGGTCTCCACATATTCGCCCGTCAGATGACCTGGCAGCCCTAGGATATGGACCCTCGGGTGGCCCGGACCCTGGTTGCCGCATCGTAATGACATTGACAATAGGGCTCCGGCATCGGCTTCGGGCAGCCGGTGTCTACATTTAGTGAACCAACTATACTGTATAACCTTGGTCATGTACTGCAGTGCTATGCTTACAAGGTGTAAAATAGGCAGAAGGAGCTGCTGCGTGTCCTGTGTGCATTGTGGCTGACAAGCCATTTAGAGACAAGCTGTGGGGGTTCAAGTAGATGTAATTACTAATAGAAAAAATGATGTTGTCCATCAAGCCAAGTTGGCAATATGATGCCAGAACATACTTGTACTACACAGTAGTACAACGAGAAAGAAAACACACAAA